ATCCATCACATTGTTGTTGTTAAGTGCCAGTGAGTCAGTTCCAACTCACAGTCACCCTGAATAGGGTTTCCGAGGAGCAGCTGGTGAGCTTGAACGGCCAGCCTTTCGTTTCAATCGACCTTGCAGTCTAGCATATTAACCCACAGCACCACACCAGGGCATCACGTTGTTTTGTGCCGTGGAGTCGGTTCCGACTCCTAGCGACCCTGTACAGGTTTTCCAAAGCTGTAAGTCTTTACGGGAACAGAAAGTCTCATCTTTCTCCCAAGGAACAGCTGGTAGTTTCAAACTGCTGACCTTAAAGTTCACAGCCCAATTCGTAACTACTATGCTACCAGAGCTCCTTGGGCATCACATTAGGGGTGAGTTAATTAAATGTTTGATCAAATATAGCAGGCTAATTTTTGAGCTGATAATTTTGTATGGCTTGTGAATGATGTTAGAAATTTCCAAATGGCCCTTGGCAGAAAAAAGGTTCCCCACTCTTGCTCTAGGGCATCACACCCAAACTTTAGAGCTAATAGTCTTTATAAGGGGTTGTTGTTGTTAAGTGCCTTCAAGTTGATTCTGACTCATAGAGACTTATAGGGTTTCCGAGAAATGAGTTTGACCTGCTGACCTTGTAGTCAGCAGTCCAGTGTTGATCCTATAGCACCACACCAGGACTCCCTCTAAGGGGTGATGGAAGACACTCAGGAATCTGTAGGGAAGGGATGGTAAGGAGGGGAGAGGTCCAGGCCTGAGGATACCTGACCTCACCATCCTAGATCTGGTGAGGGTGTTAGAATGGTTCTGGGCTCTTCTGGGTCTCCTCCCAGCTGCTTACCTGTGGCTGCTGGGTGGTTAAGGGTCTCTGAGGAGACAGGGTAGCGGTCCTGGAAAGCAGCTGATTCATCTTGCTGATGACTAGTTCTATGATGAGCTGTCTGTCCTCCAGCTGGTGTTCCCCGATCAGCGGCATACTGCAGTCCATGACCTGGTGGCAGGTGTGGTCAGGTAAGGAAAGGGACTAGAAACATAAACGTCTGGGACAGTCTTTGAGACCGTGTAGGAGGTAAGCTGGCAGAAACAGGCTAGAGGTAAAGCTGCTGTTTCCAGCTTTGAAGCATGTTCTGAAGCTCCAGGAGGATCTTTCTCCTCGCCTCTGGCAAAGAAAGGGCCCCCGAGCCTCGGCCACACCAGGACTCAGTGAGACTGAAAGCTTGGTGGATGAACGCAGTGGGGAGAGGTAAGAGCAGGGGACTGTAGGCAGAGGCACAGGAAGACAGAAAGATCCGGCCCTTCATTCCCTTATCCCCTTGGGTCAGAGCAAGCAGTTTTCATCTCTGTGACTTTTCACCCACACCATCTCTGCCTCTAAACATGCTCATTACATGACTGGATTCTTGCCTTCCTCCTTCACCACCAGTCCTGAGTCTTCCTGTGCTTCCTGGATGATTTTCCTCCCTTCAGACATTCTGGGCTTATTCTCATTTATGATTGAGAAAACTGAGCCCACCAGAGATGGGAGGTG